CCGAAACGATGGTAACGACATACTTGAATAAAACAAAATCAATTACTAGCTTCTTGGTAACCTTGTGACTTTCCATGATCCAAGTGTGAGTCATGTGCTTCCGGTAGTATATGCATCTACTACCTTTCACACCTACTCATACTCGTCCCAAGTATTGTGTCGCAGTCCCCAAGTCCTAAAATCACAAAACAATTTAACACATACGAGTGTGTCCAAATAATCATAAAAATTTCCCTAGACTCTACTAGGACTTCTTCCATGCGTATCTTCAATCATCAATTCTGCTTCAACTCGGTTGGTGATGGAAATTCCAGATGATAGGAAAACTTTAGGAATTACACCAATCGTTCTATCATCCCGCCAATCAAATGTGTACATTGAGATGTACCATACTTCTCTAGACGTACTACTATTTTATCAGACGTATTCTAAAGGCAAAATACCTCTCTTATGATATCTTCCGATAGGTATCATTCACTATCGTAATCCATCTCATTTCCTCTATTTTCTCAATTTTCTACGAGCCTTCACCATGACGTTACGTTCACGGAAGCATGCGTTTAGCGCATCGAGACGAGAATATAGATAGAGAAGATTTAGACGCATAATCCTCCTTATTACTCTGAAAAGTTACATGCCAGTTCTAATACCGTAATTAAACGTTTAGAAACCTGAACACATAAAGTTTCCAGATCCGGTCTGCAACAGACCATAGATCCGATCATATAATGCATATCATAAATCATTTAGCACATAAAAGCATGTTAGGTATTTTCCCTAAATAAGCTAGTGCTTGTGTCTATTCAGGTGTATTACCTAATTTTATTAGACACACTCCTCACAATCATTGCTTAGCATTCTAAGTTTAAGTCTAGAAATAAATCCATATTCCTAGTTCGCTTAAACTAATGCTCTGATACCAACTGTGACATCCCCATTTTCACGGCCAGAAAAGTCCGATTTTTGTTTATGCTTTATAAAAATCAGAGTACTTCTTTTAATAAAAATGTTGCGAAATTTGTTCCCAGTAAAACATGAAAAATACGTTATCAAAGCATTTCCGAAGAAATGTATTTTTATTCAGTTAAAACATTTGGGATGTCATCGTCAATACAGAAACATAAGCATAAACAGAACTTACATTCATTTACACTAGTGATCTACATCTCTTTTAAATCTCTCAGTACAAAGTAGCTTCGTATCGACACCTGTGATACAAATAAGCTGTAGTGGGTCAGGTTGGGAAACCTGGTGAGTACATAGGGTTTTCAACCCACAATAATATAATTATTATATTTAAACATCAAACAATCAACCCGATTACCCATCCCCGTTATCTTCTTTAATATTCCTTAAAGAATTATCTTAAGGGTCATCTCCTATATCATATTTACCTCTCATCTTTCTACCTCACATTTCCTTATATGCTCGTTCCTAAGGCATGAATACGTAGTTACAACGTCGCCTGAACTCGTAATTCATAGTAAGGGTTAGAGTATCATCGCATGAATATACAGTCACCACATCACCTGGACTCGTAATTCATCACCTACAAGTTATAAGTCTGCTGGTGTTTCCACGGGTTGTCTAGAATATTCCGTGGTCGCCATCTATACTCTAGTAGATGACTACATCTCCAAATTGTCGGACAAGGTTATAGTATCTTTCATCCTACATCACCGATTCATCATCACCTATCCATCACCTAATTATCATCACCTTCCTATCATCACCTATCTCTCATCATTTTATTTCATCACACACCAACTATTTCATCTACCCATGTTTTATCCCAACGTATTTGTAGATATAAAATAAATATATATTTAAATCATTTAAAACATGTATAAAATCATTCATCCATCATAGACAGCAAGTATTCAGATAATATGCACACATAGCACGTAATTTATATAAAATACTTCATATCTATGTGTAAGATGAAAAGGACCATGCACTCACCTGTTAAAGTGATGATTCCAAACTCAGACAGCGCTTCGTTACTCTTAAACAATTTCCTTCGACAAAACCTAGTATCAATACCACTAGGGTTTAGTCTAACGTTAACCGCGACTAATTAATAGTCTAGCTATTATTATTATTATTATTATTATTATTATTATTATTATTATTATTATTATTATATAAGCGTTAAACAACACTCTTATATAACTCATAATAATATCCCAAATAATTGTTTTAAGGTCCTAATAATGTTACTATAATTAATTAGAAGTTATATTAAAAATAGCGTAGGCGTAGCTCACTTACAACGAGTTTTTATTAAAAACCGGGCTTCGCTGGAGCAGCGTTTCCGAGCCGAAAGCTTTTTTCTTCTCGGAGCCGTCGGGCGCTCCGGGGCTTTCTTCTCGTGCTAGGGAGGTTCCCTAGACTTGGGAGGGGTTTAGGGAGGTTACAGAGAAGTTAGAGAGAGAAAGAAAGGTTTGAAGGTGTGAGGAAATTATGAAGAGTTTATCTCTTATTTATAGGAATTCTATAGTAAAGTAGTCTCTAAGCTTCGTCCGTAACTTTCGCATACGAGCTCCGTTTTTGTCTGTCTTTTTACCGTTGAGTTCTTATTAATGAGATCTTCAACTCTCATTTAGACCTCGTTGGCTAATTCTCATTCTATCTCGGATTTACAAAACTGTATCGAATTCGCCGCGCTCGAAAAGTAGAGACTAAGCTTCGTCCATAACTTTCGCGTACGAGCTCCATTTGTCTGTCTTTTTACCGTTGAGTTCCTATTAATGATATCTTCAACTCTCATTTAGACCTCGTTGGCTAATTCTCATTCTATCTCGGATTTACAAAACTGTATCGAATTCGCCGCGCTCGAAAAGTAGAGACTAAGCTTCGTCCATAACTTTCGCATACGAGCTCCGTTTTTGTCTGTCTTTTTACCGTTGAGTTCCTATTAATGAGATCTTTAACTCTCATTTAGGTCGCGTAAGCCAAAAACAGCTTGAACAAAAATTCGAGTTTCGGGCTCTACACTGCTAAGCCGAAACTTCGAAAAATCATAACTTCCTCATACGAAGTCAGATTTGGGCGTTCTTTTTATGGACGCTCTCGGTTTAACGTTTTCTACGACTTTTGTTTAGATCACAAGGCTAAAATTCGCTCCATCGTAAATTCACTATTTACGCTTCCCGGTGCCTTGCCGGTTTTGCCGTAAAATTTCGACAGGCCATAACTTCTTCGTTATAACTCGGATTTCGGAGTTCTTTATATGTACGGAAACCTTGAGAAATATTCTACAACTTGGTTAAGATTATTTATTATAAATAATCTTTTGCCGAAAATTCGTTTTCGACACTCATTGCCTCTAAATTGACTAGCCCGGATCTACGGGCGTTACAGACAGATTCCAAGAAGTTAGAGCCCTTAAATAGGGCTTAAAATCTTAGGGTTATGGTTTTGGTCAGCAACAACTACGCCCTGTGTAACATTACTTATGCCATGCATAGGTCATTAAGCTCGCGTCCATAATTCAGCTCCTACCCCAAATTATTGAAGTTATTAAACTGTGAAAACATTTCATTGATTTGTTGTTATTTATTGTTATGCAGTCGTGTCTATTTCCAGTCTACTTGTCAGTATACACTATTTAATAACTATGAATTTGGCTTCTAATCTTTAAGAGTTTATATATATATATATATATATATATATATATATATATATATATATATATATATATATATATATATATATATATATATATAGGTTAATGTGTTTCTTACATTTATTGTGTGCTACAATTCACGAATATGAATTTAGTAAATTAAATAATTATTTAATTAAATAAAGATAAATATTAAATGATTTCCATGATTGTATGTATATTAAATGCTATCCATAATTATAATTCTCCTTTTATGTAAACTAATTAAATTCGTCATTAATGTCAGCAATAACATTCTTTCAGAATGAATTCGCATCTAGGTTTTTATGTATGAATTCGTGTTTTGTTTCAGGACACACTCACTTAAAATCAGTGTTGCAGAAATCGGCCTAATCGGCCGATTAATCGGTAATCGGACCTCCACCGATGAGATTTATTGTTAATCGGTCATTATAATCGGGTTTGATCAATGCAGGTCAATGCCGGAATTAATCGGACTTAATCGTACCTAATCGAGTTTGGTTAGTGCAGGTCAAATTCGGACCTAATCGGCCGTAATCGGACCTAATCGCTGATTCATCGCTTAGTTTGGAGGATTAAAGTTAGATTTATAAATTTTTGAATATTTTTCTTAATAATTAATGGTCCCCGATTAATCCCCGCGTAGCCAATTAATCCCTAATCGCTAGTCCACCGATTAGCTGTCGATTAACGATTTCTACAACCATGCTTAAAATACAATAAAGTTGAATGAAATATGAAGAATGAGAGTGTATTCTACTAGAATACACTCTCTACATTCTCATTCTGTTAGAATGCAATCTTATTCTTCTAGATACAAATTCATCCTGAAAAAATATTATTGCTGAGATTAATGACGAATTTAATTAGTTTCCTTAAAAATAAATTATATATATATATATATATATATATATATATATATATATATATATATATATATATATATAAAGAATTAATAGAATCAAGTAAAACTCATAGAAGCACATAAAAACTAATATGTTTATTTCTGAACATTTTGTATGTTATTAACTGAATATATATATATATATATATATATATATATATATATATATATATATATATATATATATATATATATATATTTTCATAGATGAACATGTACGTTCACTTATAACATTGATTATTTTCTTTTGGTTCTTTGGTTCAATGATATATATATATATATATATATATATAAAAGTAGAAAGTATTACCCCTATTCCTTTGATAGAAGATAAAGTTACACTGTATACATATAAATTCTTATCAATCTCACAAATTCAATTTCCGATTCTTTATGTTGTCATACACAAGCAGGAAATCGATAAAGGAGAAATTAACATTGTTGTTTGTCAATTGTAGTAGAAGGCATTTACTAACTAAAAAGTAATTAGTTGTTGGATTTAATGATCTAGAATCGGGCGAGAAACTGAAGTTGCTTCAGAAGTGGAGTTAAAGTCTCCATTAGCTTCTCACATGGATGGTTGTGAATGCCTTCATAAGTTGTAACCACAATGGAGTTGTCTTTTGAGAGCCTTTGAATTTGTTTCTTCACATTGCATGTATGATGAGTGCACCTATAGTAACTCCTTCCATCATTTGCAGCCACAGAAAAAAAAAGTAGGTAAGAGCTTTTACTTGTAAAAGATACTAAGAAAACAGATTATATAAAAAAAAGACTTATACAAATTTTGCAATATCTTTATTAAAGCATTAACACGAAGATATCTAATAAAATACACTTGTTCTTGTGGGTATAACTAGAGTTCATAGTTCAGATCTTATCATGTACTTTGGTGTTATAAAAAGTAATAGAAAATGTAAAAAAATGTGAAGATAATTTAGACTTTAGTGTTATATCAACAAGTTAAAAAAACACATCTTAATTTAAAAAAAAAAGCTCTTGTTATAAGACGCCATATGCATGGCGTGTGCCTTACTGCCTTTTATAACACTGTTACGTTTAAGTAGATTATTATGGGTGTGTCGGTTGGTGCATGGTGGACTCATCTCCTATCACTATGGTTTCAAAAAAAAAAAAAAAAATCTCAATCTAAATTATGTGGGAAATTGACCGAAAAATCTTAATATTTTTGGAAAAGTTACACTTTAGTTTCAAGTTTTTTTTTACATAAAACTCTCAATTATTTGTAAAAACACGATAATATGCCATTTCCTATTAAAAGAAAAAAAAAAGATTTATTTTTGTTAATTTGAGCCAAAATGAAATAATCGAGATTTTTATGTTTAAAAAAAAAAAACTTAGTACTAAAATGTAACTTTTCCAAAAATATTAGGAATTTTCTAAAAATTTCCTTAAATTTGTTAAAAGGAATTATTCATATGAATGTGTTGAAAACAACACTTAGGTGACTTTAAATACGCTTAAAGAATTCCGTTCCGACCATTAATATTTAAAAAGATACTGAATGAAAAGTATAATTTCACAATTATAAAAATATTTAGTGACTTTTTCAAATGAGATTTCATGAATTAAAGTCTCAATAACAGACATAAATGATATATATTTAAGAGTATGTTAATTTGTTGTCCAAGAAAAGAAAAAAAAAATGTCCACAAATACCTATTTATAACCCTCGTTAACTTGTGATGACAAAAGATAAATATATGGGTTTATCTTTGAAAATTTATCAAAATAAAAAGATATTAGTAATATTGTGACTTCGTTGAGTAAAACAAGAATATGTTTGGCATACCACAAATACTTATAACTAGATTTAAATAATAAAAAAAAGGCTTAATTAGGAATTTGTTTTCTCAAATGTACCATGTAAAAACCTCATTTCCCATCGTTCTCTCCTACCAACTCTACCTTTATTTCGTTGTCATCATGGATATAGTTATCTAATAAAACATTCTTAATAAGCTACTAGAAAGGTTACCCCGCTACGCGGGGCCAGAAGCTTTCAATGTTGTTTCCGAATTGATAAATATGATAGACATAGAAAGTGCAAGGATTAAAAGTCCGGGCTTTGCCCCGGACAAAAAATGTAAAAGTTTTGATTGCAAGGACCAGAAGTGTTAAAATGGCTAAATAATTAAAGGGGTAGGAATTAGCAACTTTTTAGAAAAGGGATCAAAGTTGTCAACCCGTTAAAGTTTTGTGGCCAAATTTTAAATATTAAAAGGTTCCAAAAAAGTGTAAAAATATTGATTGCAAGGACCAAAAGTGTCAAAATGGGTAAAGAATAATGAACAAAGTTGCCAAAAAACATCCAAATTTAGTATTCCTAACTTCCAACAATAATAGAGGGACCAATTCTGCCAAAAAAATGGGAAGTTGAATGGAACACAAACAAAAGGACATGAATAAATTAATTAAAGAAGTACAGAGACCGGATATATAAATCAAGGGACCAAACCTGAACAAAGTATGCCAACTTCACTATTCCTTTCTTCCACAACTTTAATATATATATATATATATATATATATATATATATATATATATATATATATATATGTTAAGATAAATTTTGATGTTGTTTTTGAGAGAATCAAACAAGTAATGCATGCGTGGAAAGTTATTATTCATCTTATATAATTATATTAAGTAACATATTTTCATAATAATTTAATAATAGTAAATAAATAATCAATCATGGATGCATTAAGAAAAAAAATTAGGCAAAGAAAATAATGTTTAATAATCCAAACAATTAAAGAATAATTTATGTTAAAATAGTAAATTAAATATTAGATTAAAGGAATATATAACTATGAAATATAAGCACACAATTACAAAATTATTTTAATAAGTACTTAAAGGTGAACTTATATTTATTTGTATTTATTTTAGTTGAAAAACTAGGTAATTACAGAAAAATTAGCTATTAGCTGAAAAACTTGCTGATAAATGAAAAGTTAGGTGATAAAAAAATAATATTTAGTAAAACTAACTAATAAAGCTAGTTGAAATATATAAAATAAAATAAAAAACATGTAAAATTCGTCTTTTAATTCAGGACATATTTGAGAGAATTAAAAAAATCCAATAATTTCATTAAAACAGTAATCTGAATAAGTTTTAAAAAATGACATTATAAGTAACTTTTTGGCTTTGCAAATATAACGACAAAAAAATACTAGAAAAATAAATTTTATATGATGTGCCAAAGATAACCTAGTTTAACTAAATGTATTACTTATATGTATTATAAAACTGAATAATTATACCTATTTTTTTATGTCATTTTATATATTCTAGCTATTTTATCACCTAGTTTTTATCAAACTCTATTTTTAATCAACTAATTTATCAAATATTATCTAGCATTTTATTTTGGATGTTAGCTTTTCATCTAGGATTTTAAACACAACCTAAATGATTAATCTTTTATATGTTAAGGTTTGAGACTTATGGAAGCTAAGAACTTCCATGCTATTATTCTAAAATATGTGCATGGGTGGACTTTCTTAAACGTTTATCCATCGTGATTTCAGTTTTATTGTCGACAGTTTACAAATATATGTAAGTATAAATTAATGACACGTCAATTTTTTTTCTATGGTGCTCAATGAGAGGTTTATGTACTTTCTTGAAATTTTCTTATTAAAGTTTTAAAAGGAAGTTTCAAAGAAACAAAACACGTGATGTATTGGTGTTTAGCTAATAATTAGAAATTCGTTTTCACCAAGATACTTGTACTAAAAGATGTTGATATAAGGCCATCTGGTATACTGACCACGAACCCGATCATGTTCTAGCTGGCCACGGAAAACCTTTGTGCACACCACCCTAGTGTTTCGTGGTCTTCCGTATATATTCGTTATATTTTGAAGTTTAAGAGGTATAAAATACAAATTTTTTTGTACAAATCAATTATGCATAAATAAATCATTAAATACTTTCTAAAAGTTTAAAAACTTAAATTAATGAAGGTTATTAAGAAATTTAATTTGAGCAAAATGATAATTTTAAAATATTAAAATCATCTATATATTAATTTACATTTCTTAAAGTAGACACGGATAATAATTAATTTTACATTTATAAACACACAATATAAATTTAAGTTCTAAACATAAATATTTTATTTAAAAATAGTAATTCTTTTATTACATAATAACTAATAATAAAATATAATAATTATTTTCCCGTAAAAAATGATCCAGCGCCATGCCGCCACCCATTTCAAGTTAATTATTGAAAGCCTATAAAATGAGTATTAGTTTTTTTTTTTTTTTTTGGAACTACAAATATATTCTATTTCTAAAGTACTTCTAAATCCATCTATATCGTTGACGAAATTTCAACCATCGACCTCAAAAAGAAAGAAACACACCTAATACTGTTGGAGGCGAGATCTTATGTCTTTTTTGTTAAAATGGTTTAAAAAGACATTTCGTCAATGATGTGTTTTATACTCATAACCATTTATTTAAAAAGTTTCATTCTATTTGAGAATTGAAAATTTTACCCAAATGATGGTACTCTTAATGAAAGGAGAGAGTGCTTTCAATAGTAGTTAGGGAAGAAATGTTAGGTCAACTTATTTTAGAGAAATAACACTTTTCTTGCTCACCAAAGAGAGCAGTCAAAAGGAGGAATATTTTTTAATCAACTAGGATGCGTGGATTCCATCATATATTGTGTAAACATGAACATGCATGGTAATGGAAAATTTTCATAGATTACAGAACAAAATAAATCTAGTTTCTTTAAATATATTTGGCATTATTAATTTAATTATGACCGGTTATGATATATATATATATATCTATATATATATATATATATATATATATATATATATATATATATATATATATATATATATATATAATTACGTCCGACTATGTTTAGCTGGTTATAGTATTTAATTATATAGCGTTCCAAAATGGTTACTAATAAAAAATTGTTGTGCGTACCATAACTTCTATGTTTTTATACTATCGTTACTAATATTTATAATTTATTTTTCTAAATAACTATTTTTTTTTTTTTGGTTTTTATAGCTTTGTCCTTGAACAAAATAATATTTGTATTCTTAAGATTTCTAAACAATTAAACCTTTTCAATAGAAAATCTAAGGTTCTAAACCAATATAAAATCAAATTTACAAAGCAAATATCGGAACTCAATTTTGTTTTAACATTTCAATCCAAAGATAAAGCTAATCATATAAAAACGGATAAAAATTACATTTCCTTGTGTCTCTACCATTAATAAAAAGACACAAAAATAATGATACAAAGCCAAAAAAAATAGAATAGGAATCTCATGTGTACAAATAAAAATTTAGTGATCAATTTAGAATGCCATATAAGTATTAAAATGGACTAACATACACTAGTTCATCATAATCGTAAACATAACACACACAAAAAATTACTATGAAAAATACTCTGATAATCATTCAAATAATGGTAATCTAAAATTAGTTTTTATTTTAGATAACCAATTCTCTAAATATTTGATTTTAAACTTATAACAAACTCCTTAAACCTTGATTTTCAAAAACTTTGTTAGAATAAGTTGAATCCAAATGTAATGCAAAATTATTTGAGATAAAACATCTGATTAAACTTGGTCTAGCTTTGGCACAAATCGCATAACATATAATTTCATCAAATGATCAAAAAGAAGGGGTGTTTGAACATTTTGACTATGAAAATTTGAGTTTTGTAGAATGACCAAGGGATCCTCAGAAGGGGCTCTGCAAAAGTCTTTTACCTTCTGAGGAATGTGAATAGTAGCGATGAATTGATATGGCAGGGGAAAAAGACAAAAAAAAAAAAAGACGGTTTGTTGTATAGTTTCTCAGAGGGGGCTCTGAGGAAAGGTTGCTGAGGCTCTGCGGATCTGTTCTTCATCAGCACACCTCTGAGAAACTGTTCTTCGGCTAACCATGACAAAAATCAGGATTTCATTAGCCGAAGAACAGTTCCTCAGAGGTGTGCTGATGAAGAACAGATCCTCAGAGCCTCAGCCACCTTTCGTCAGAGCCCCCTCTAAGGAACTATGCAACAAACCCTTTTTGTGTCTTTTTTCCCTGCCACCTCAATTCCTCGTTACTATTCACATTCCTCAGAAGATAAAAGACTTTTGTAGAGCCCCCTCTGAGGATCCCTTGGTCATTCTACAAAACTCAAATTTTCATGGTCAAGATGTTCACACCCCCCTTACTTTTGGTCATTCGATGAAATTTCTCACTAATTAATTATCAAGAAATTTAAGTGGTTATGATTTTCTTAAGATAATATAAAAATCTTGATTTTAAATTTCATACTTCAATATTATTAGTGATTTATCAAACATATATACGTATACTAAAAAAAAATAAGATTAAATTTCACCCTGTAACCTTGTTGGGGTGATTATAAGGGTGACAATTAATGACACGTCACGACAAAAAATGCATGAAACGAAACGAAATTGAGACGAAATTGAAATTTGAATTCGTGTTCGTGTCCTGTTCGTGGTAACAGTAAAAAGCACGATGTCGTGTCGTGTTCGTGTTCAAAATTCGACACGAAATTGACACGATGTGGTAGTTCTTTATCGTGTTTTTCGTGTTATATTTAATAAAGTATTCATTAAATAAACTAGATTTTAGTAAATGTTATATTTGTCGTGTTGTGTCGTGTTTGTCGTTTTTTAATTCGTTCGTTTTCGTGTTAGTTAAAAAAAACACGGCATCGTGACGTGTCGTGTTCGTGTTACATAAAACCTTGTCGTATCGTGTCGTGTCAGACAGAAACACGAAACGATAGCACGATTTGCCACCCCTGAGTTCTTCAAGATGATAGAGATTATAAGATTCATTAATTTATGACTAGTTTTTGTTGGACTTTTGGTCTCGTATAAGTTGCATATGGATATGGGCAACAAATGTCAGGACGCATACGATCGTGATTATCCAATATGCTTGGGGATAGCTGCGTCCATGTTATACGTGCAGACGTGCAGTCTCACAATATAAATACGTGTTTTGTTGGGTATTTAAAATCCCCTTCAATGATGTTAATATATAAATACTCTGTAAAATTGCACGCTTTTAAAAAAAATGTTTTGTAAAATAAATACAAGCAAATAGTTTTAGTTATTTAGAAAATATCCATGGAAAATGTAGTAAAACTCTAATGAGATTGTATATGCTACAGTTTTACCAAACGGGCACTGCTACTATATTTTGGTATTCATGACATATATATTAAGTAATAACTTTGTTTATAATAATCTTCATAATTATTTAAGAACCGTTATTCATCTAAATCTTTTAATTAAAATTACTGGAGAGTAGATAGTTTATATATAAGAAAAATCATCTTGATCGTTAATTGCTTAGTGTCATTGAAACCTTTTTACGATAATTTACTCATGTTTCAATAAACGGACTGTAAATTCACTCATTCATATGTGTTTATCGATCGAAAAGTTTTAGAAAATAATATCGTAATCTATTAGAGATAATCACTTATTATTATTATTGTTTCTGAATTGCAGATGTGGAGGCTAGGATAAAAAAAAAGGGCCAACGATGTAGGAAACAAAACCACCAAAAACAAAAGAAAACGGGCACAAAAACTACACCTACCGAGAGACGAGCAAAAACTCACAGATAGACCCAGAGATAATTAATCACATATACACACGTAAACAGAAAGAGCACGATGGATAAGAATTGAAGTACCTTGGATGGTGGCTATTTTTGACAGATTTTTGGCCATATTTTCTCCATTTGTAACCATCGTCAAGAATATCCTCACTGCTTCTTGTATGAAATGCAACCCTAGATGGAGTTACCTTCTTACCCCTACCACTTTTCATGGCTTTACTATTCCTGCCCGCATTGTTTTCATCTCCTTCACACAAACCCCTCGCCATCGACCCTTCCCCATTCATGTAACCAGAAAGAAGGCTAACCCAGTCCACATTGTTGCTCTCCAAGCTAATATTATTATCCAGATTATGAGCCACGGGTACTGGTTGGGGTAAAAGTGGAGAAGACGAAGGGTACGGAAATGGATTATTAATCAAAGGGGTGTAATCCAATAGATATGGATTAATGTTGTTCATATTAACATTATTGTCGTTCATAGGAGGTTGTGGTGTCTGTGAAGAATGTTCGTCTCCTTCCATGCTCGATCTAGAGGGAAAAAGAACACAGAAAGCTGAATGTTTTGTATGAAATTTGAAGGTTTTGTATGTTTCTTGGCAGATGAAAGAGGTTGGTCTGTCCCACACACCTGTTATATATATGTTGATAGAGAGAGAGAGAGAGAGAGAGAGAGAGAGAGAGAGAGAGAGAGAGAGAGAGAGAGAGAGAGAGAGAGAGAGAGAGAGAGAGAGAGAGAGAGAGAGAGAGAGAAAACAACTAAACCACTAAACATTACCTACTTTTGTTGAACTATATACGTTGTTAAAAGATGTAGCTTAGCTAAGAACATCGTTCGACTCCATGTGTAACGCTCTCGTCAAATCAGGCGTACATTTATTTACATGCAACGGTGAAAATATTTTAACATATTTCTCTGCGTGTTGCGTGTGTGTTGTTAAACAACTAGTTCAGTTTATTTTTTGAGTAATGAGAACATATCAATCTTTGTTGTGGGTAGTTTGGAAAATCGATACATATGTGTGATTATTTATTCTTACATCTCTGATCCCTCTAATAACCATTAATAGTGGATGTTAAAAATGTATAGTATTTATGGGTAAATTACTAAATTATATCAGAGGGCTTCTAGCCCGGCGGTATCCAGTGTTGTCCTCTCTCCTTAAGGTAGAGGGTTCAAGTCCTGTCATAGATATATGTGGATTTAATGAGTAGTTTAGGAATATGTTAGATTTGTGGTTTAAACAAAAAAATTACTAAATTCTACGAATGATCCCTATGGTTTTGGGTTGTATGTGCATTTGGTCTCTATAATTTTATTTTAACTCGGACCATCCCTAAGGTTTGTTTTCGTTACGGTTTTGGTCCTTAATCGATATGAAAAGACTATGTTTTTTCTTTCACGTTTTTTATATTCTTAATTTATTAAAAAACTTAATAAAATATGTGTAACCCCACTACCCCCGTATCACTCACCATTCTTGCTCTATACAAGTATACTACTATCATAGAAGAGCATCCCTTAATCCTCCATTTTTCTTGCTATATACCTATCGTCGGTCTTCTCCGCCACCACCGTCACCCGCCCTTCATCTATCTTCTTTTTTTCACGGCCACCCCTATCTCCCCTTGTCGATTTACATATCATGAGTAGAAATAGAAATCTTTGTCGATTACATCTCAAAAGAAAAAATCGTTAGACCTGGAACACCTCGTTGGAATTTATGCAGTGAACACCACCATAGATTGCTTCCATTGAAGCCCTTACTCAAAACTGACCTCAAGAAAAAGTTACAGAAACCTCAGTTGATATTATCCCACAAACACCACAATTGATTACTTCCATGAAGCAGAAAACTCTGCCAATACCCGGTCCTTCAACCCCCCCCCCTTAAAGTAACTTAATTTCATGTCTTGTTTCCTTATTCCTGAAGGTTTGTATTTTATTATGTAAATCATAAACTGATTGTATTTTTGTAGATGAGAGAGGATGATGGGAGTATGAAACAAAAGGTAAGCGTGAGGGTTTACTAGTGTTGGGTCAAAAATATGGTTTATACTTTACTTTTCTGGGCAATTGTATTTTTCTGTAATATTTTATGTGTTTACGGTTAGGTTTATGGCCAAGGGGGTGTTTACGGCCGTAAACAGGTTTACGGCCGTAAACCTTGTTTACGACCCGACCGTAAATGGGGCCGTAAACCCATTTACGGCCCATGTTCCCCAAGTATATGTATAGGTGTTAGGGGTGAGGAGTAGAGAATGAACAAGAGGGGGTAAGGTATTCTAGAGAGACAAACTAGAGAGAAGTTTTGTGTGTGTGAATCTCTTGTATCTGGATCTTCATTCTAATCAATTCATACATAGATTCATCATCTTTTTCTTCTCCTTCTTCTTCTTTTGATCTGACATCATCCGTTTGATTGGGATTCCGCACCATCAAACGGATCTGATTGATACACAAGCAGATTAGGACCTTACAATTGGTATCAGAGCAAAAACCGGTGTCAAGCTTCATTCAGTCGAATTTACGACTGTTAAGACTGACATTCTTTACTGATTCGAGATTGGTTTGGTGCTTTCGTCGTTAAGAAGATTGAAACTACTCCAAAAACGCATTTTCTGGGAGTTTACTGCCTAGAGATTACGGCCGTAAACCCAGATTACGACCGTAAACTAAGGAAAATTCTTCAACCGTAAACTGTGTTCTTGGACCGTAAACGTAACATCTTTATTAACCGTAAACTAATCTTCATCAAACCGTAAACAGTTGGACCGTAAACACCCGACCGTAAACTCTGTTTACGGCCGTAAACACTCAACCGTAAACACCTAACCGTAAACTCCTTTCTGATTTTATTTTGCTTTCATTTCTTTAATTTCTGATGGAATCTCAAAGTCAAACTCATTTTCACGAACTTGATACTGTCATGGGCACTACTACGCGTATTCCAAGATTAATGTCTGCAGATGGTTTTCCTGAGTGGAAGTACAGGATTGAAAAGTACATTAAAATGAAGGACTTTAAAGTTTGGAGAAGCATCATCAAGGGCCCTGTTCGAATCACTATGACCGTTTGAGGAAAGGTGATTGACAAAGTTGTTGAAAACTACACAGATGAAGAGTTTGAAAAAGTGGAAGAGCAGGAAAGGGCTTTAGCCACTCTAACCATGGCATTATCTCCTGATATTGCTCAAGGTTTCCGAGAGTATACTTCAGCTAAAGATTTATGGGAAGCCCTAATTGAGGTGTATGAAGGCAATGAAGATATGAAGGAGAGTCGCCAGGACATGTTGCGACAAAAGTTCAATATGTTCAACTACATTCCCGGAGAGACTCTTGAGGCACAGGTGCAGCGGTTCACAACTCTCACCACTGGCATGAATATATCTGGGATTTTCTTGACCAAGTCAGAGATTAACAAGAAGCTTCTGAATGCTCTTCCAAGGTCATGGGACATGAATGTTGCTGTGATTAAGAAGACCAAGGACCTGAATCACCTCACTCTTGCGGAAACTATGGCGATCATCAAAGCTTGTGATATTGATGACAAACAGAGAGAGATTAACCATGTGAACTCGTACTCAACTGCAAATCTTGGAATCTCCTCTAACAATGCTCTCTCATCAATCATATCTTCCTCAGGTCAAGTATTTGCTGCTCAACAACCTCAGATTCAGACCTTCGCTGCTGCATCATCCATTCCTCATTCTCAAAGCCAGCCATTTGTAATTCCACAAGCTGTTCCCCCTCCAAATGTGCCAGTTGTAGCCTCTTCCTCAAACACGAAAGACACTGATGAAAATCTGGCTCTAGCCACTGGGCTTGTTAACTGCTACAATGCTTTTGTAGCTGGAGAGCTTCCACCTCAACTGTCATTTGCTGACCCGGATCAGATTCATCCAGAAGACATGGAAGAGATGGACATTACATGGCAAATTGCTATGGCTGTTTTCAGGGCCAAGCAGTTTGCTAAAAAGACAGGGAAGAACAACTGGGGCATGAATGCTGACAAGAAGGTGGGGTTCAACAAGGGCATGTTGCGATGTTTCAACTACCACGAGCCGGGTCACTTTGCTCGTGAGTGTCCAAAACCAGATCGTAGGACGAACAATAATAGGACAATGGTTGCAGTGGGAAACAATCGTGCAGGTGCTGCGGTTAATGGTGAGACTCCTATGGTCGCTCAGTCCTTTGACTGGGAGGACCAGATTCAGGCTTTGAATATTTCAGGGCCAGAAAACGCTCACCTAGCTCAAATTGATGATGCTCCCTTGAAGAATGATGCAGCTGATCCTGAAGCGGAAATGATGGAGCTGCAGTTTGCTCTGATGGTGTCTTCTACTTCCGAGCCCAGGAAGAGTGAGGTAAATCTACCTTCTTGTTCTCAGGCATGTAATGAATATGTTAAACTTCTTCATGATGAAATTCAATTATTACGTAGAGAAGTAGAGGACCTTAGATATGAGGGCTATCAACTCAGGAAAAGACAAAAACCCCTTAAGGCCCAGTTAGAAACAAAAATAAAGGACTTTAAGAGAATTCAGACAGAATACAGTGAAAAATGTGAACTTTATGATTATGTTAAGAGACAAAATGATGAGTTAATTACTGAGCTTGATACATTAAAGAGACAATTTGAAACTGCAAATTTTGATTTTAGAAAATTTGATGGATCAAGCGAGGTAGTTGCCAACATGATTGATCACTGCATGCAGTTCAAACGAAACCAACAAAAGGGTTTAGGATACGATAGTGTACCTCCTCCTTATAATCATACATATCAGTATCAACCCCTATCCAAAGATGAGATTTCCAACGAACCATTCATGGTTTATGGCAAGCCATCTGGTTTCGTTTCAGGAGGATTTATTAATGTTGAAAGTACTAACGTTTCTACTTCCCTTGCAGATCAATCTTTAGATCAGGCAAAGCATGAAGTTGGAGAACCTGTTTCTGTTTCTGATTCTGATATTTCTGTTTCAAATGAAAAAGTTTTTGTTTCTGATATTAGAACTGAGAATGTTTCTTGTGATGCTCCCACATCTGCTACTGTTGAATTTAATTTCTTTGATATGTTTGATGAACTATTTGGTAATTCTGATGCTTGTGATTCTCATGAAAACCCATCAATTCCACAAGTCACACCATCTGAGGCACCCTCACTTATCTCATCACCTATTTCTCATGCATGTTCTTCTGAGAAGAGTAAGAGTGTCTGTCAAGAAAATAAATTTGAGAAATGTAGTACAAGTTCAAATAATAAACAGATTTGTTTTAATTGTGGTGTTGGTGGTCATATAGCTAGAAATTGTCAAAATAGGATCTTTGTGAACTATATGTCGCCAAGAGGAGAGAACGAATCTAGAGGAAGGTCTTTAATTAGAAAATTCTCAAGAACTCGTTCTCGAAATGATGATTGGAAAGATGATCGAAGCAGAAAAAGGGCTGTTTTTCAAAAGGATAAAAAGGTTTTTAAGAACAAAGTCCCAAACAGTTTGCCAAAACCGAACAAGGCTCCGCCAAGATCGGTTTCATCAAAGAGTAGTTCTGGATCTTCTATATCTTCTGATAGAACATCCAGATGCTCAGTGCAAACTGATAAGAAAC